TCAATTATCATGCAGTTGAGGCTCTCCCAGCTAAATTCAGAGCCCTATATATTAATTGTTGTTGACTTCTGAAGGCTTTTTATCTTGTCAAAGAGTGTTATTTATAGGGAACCATATTAATATGTCCCTATATTAGCCTATTAACGATAAAACAAATTGGCAATTATATTGGTTTTTGGGGCCAACGGTGATGGTAAAAATTTTGCCAACCCTGCTCCTGTTGTCAATGAAACTGGTTTGCTTATCTTTTTTAGTCTTTTTTGTATTTATTTTTATTTTGTATAGAAATGAAATATTTAATTGAAATATAGCTGTTTTCTTAAAACACTTAGAACATGAAGTTATTTTGAGTGTTTTTTGAATCAAGCTTTTTTTTTTTAGAAATAAAAAGTGAAAATTTGTTGAAAATATATTAAATGAACATTTTTTTAATAACAACAACAACAACAAAGCCTTAATCCCACTATGTGGGGTCGGCTACATTAATCTTTTTTCTCCACTGCATCCTATTTAGTGTCATATTTTCATTTAGTTATAGTAAATTAAGATCGTTTTTAATATAATAAACCCAAGTCTTCGTAGGTCTATCTCTGACTTTCTTAACACAAGTTGAATCTAAAACATCTACTTTCCTAATCGGATCATAAGATGATCGATGTTTAATGTAACCAAACCATCTAAGACGACTTCCTCTAATTTTGTTCGTCTAATTTTCTCTAATTTAATAACAAACGAAAAAAATTAAAACTGCTTCCAGACGAGCATTTAATAAATGTGGGGATATTTTTTTTTAGTTTTAAATCAATTTGTAGCCGAGAACTTAAAAATTAATTATTAATACCTTGTTGGTTTCTTCTTATTTTGTTAATGTTAAACATGATTTGAGCTTGATTGATTAATGACATGGAATGAATTTTCATTTAAAAAGTTTATAATGTAATGCATGCATGTTTAATAAATCTATGGGCGTTTAGTTGCTTATCACATATTTTTTATGTACGTTTATGTCTGACACCTAATTTAATTTTTATTTTTATAGCTCTTAAATTTTAACATCAATTGAAACATGTCACAGTTGTTTAGTTTTAAAAGTAAATTATCTTTTTCATGCATGTATTAATAAATCATGTGTTATAAATAAAATTATAAATATTAATGGATACAAAATATTGTTATATGATTTTTTTTTATTATAAAAATGATTGAATTGAGCCTACTTTTTGAAGTGGTCGAATCAAACTCTCTTGTATACTGGTTGTATTAACTCATCCCGAATGAATGGTCTAGCCCACTTGTGCGAAGGTAGTTATTGGAGGTCGCCATGATCAATAAGAATATCTATTAATATGTTTAAAAAACTGCCACCAGACTTTTGGGATCCATTTTTTTTCCCCCAAACACAAGGGATGTGTCATATTAGCACTGATTACAGACATTTGTCATGTTTTTATCAAGGCAAACGCAGATCTTATATAGTAAGAAATGTATCGCATTTATTATTGTATTATTTTTCTCCGTGTATACAAGGAAAGGAAATAAAGGATAGGGGAAGTGATTCTTTATTTTTTTGTGGCTACCATAAAGAGAATATCTCTCTCACCCCTACCTCTAGGCTCAGCTCATGTTCAACTCATTTATATTTTGAGTTCAAAAGTGTGTTCGTGTTAGACTCGTTTGATCAGCGAGTCGGACACGAGTTGTTCACGAACAAAGAGTCGTTTTCACAACCTTAATCACGTGGTCATAAGATGATAAGAGTTGGGGCAAGATTTAAAAATTATTGTTTATATTAAAACATCATTTGAATCTAATTTAATAATTTTTATTCTATTTTTTTAATTAATACTTTTCATTGATTATAAATCTTTATAGCTTTGTAGTCAATTAAATTTTTAAAAATAATACTAATCAGCACACACACTACCTCCCCTCCACCCAGAACTCCCTCTATCTCTCCTGTTCTAAAATCTTGTAACTCGAGAAATCTTACAGATGTCTATCTTTTTCGACTTCAAAAATAAGAATTCAATACATTTTATAAGGCTTTCTCTTAATACTCGCCCATCTCTCTCTCTCTCTCTTTCTCTCTCTCTTTATGATATAAGGTCTAGGGAGGATTGATCCACTGAGACATGAGCCACTAAAATTAAATTCATCAAGGATAGACTTGTAATAACCAAATAATAATACTAATGACAATGACAATAATAAAATTAATTTAAAATAAATAAGGCGGTAGGTGTTCGTTTTTGTCACGACACTTTCATTACTGAGAGAGGCTTTCCTTTTGAACTAGAGAAGAAGCGAGAGAGATAGAAGCGTGAGGAGGTCAAGAAAGAGAGAAATTTGTGGGGCAACATAGGGCTCATTGCAAGAGAAGGGCTCTGGTCACCTTCTCCTGCAACTCTGACCACCGCCGCCTCCACCACATATGGCAATTGTCGTCGCTATATTTGGCCCGCATTATCGCCAACTCCAGCCGACGCTATGACCAACTCCGACCACTATCGTTGGCCAAGTTTGTTTGGCGTTGTTTGCCAAGTCCAACTGCCACCGCCTTAAAGAACCGCTTCCAACCAACTCCAGTCGTCGCCACCTCCGATAACTACGGTTGTTGTATCCTTGAGGCACTTTCGATTGTCACCTCCGACCATCTCTGATTATTGGAATCTCAATTTACGTTGTGTGATGGTGAAGTTCCTGGCATAAGTTGTAACAACCCCTCAAATGCGACGCAAAGACGCCTACCAAAGATGGTGTACCAATGTACCCAAATATAGTACAACGAGACACCCCGATGACGGTGTAACAATGCATCTCATATATGGTGTAACGACAACTCTCGAAGATGGCGCAACAATCTCATTATAAAATCTCATATACGATGTAACGACAACTCCTTGCAGCTCCCAACTCCGGCTCTTGTGGCCTACAAAAGTCTTCACAGCTGATAACTATGGCCTACGAGACCAACGTAGTCTAATGTGGTCCATAGATTGAACAACTCTCAACTTTGGCACCTATGGCCTGTGAACATCATCAAAACTAAACATTGACCAACTACATGTGGTTCATAGCCCGTCCAACTCTCGACTTCGGCCTCTGCGACCTACAAACTTTATCACAACTAACCGCTAGACCTATGCGACCAACTATAACCTATGTGGCTCACCACTGGTGTATCTCTCACCTTCAGACCCTGCGACTTATAAACTTCATTACAACTCATTGCTACAGCCTATCCAATCGACCACGACCTACATGACTCATAACTCATGTAGCTCTTGACTACGACCCTGCGGCCTATGGACACAATCATAGCTCACCATTATGCCCCACATAACTAACTACATCCTACATAATTCATGACTCATTCAACTCCCTACTTCAGCCTCCGTGACTTGTGTACGTTATCACAGGTCTTCACAATGACATACGTGACCAATTGTGACCCATGCGATTAATAGCTCGTGCAACTCTCTACTTTGGCCCCCGATGTCTATGGATGTCATCACAGCTCAATCCTACGACCTATGTGACCAACTATGACCTACATCATTAATATATTGCATAGCTCCCAACTTCGACTTTTGAGGCCTACTAACGTCATAACAACTAACTACCGTGACTTATGTGACTCACAACTCGTGGAACTCTTAACTCTAACCCATGTGGCCTACAGACGTCATCACGGCTTATCACTACGATCTACATGACCAACTATAATCTATATGGTTCACAACTCGTGTACTTTCCAACTTTAGCCCTCGTGACTTATCAACGTCATTACAACTCACCACTACGACATATATGACCAACTACGACTTACATGAAGCTTCTGACCCTGACATATGCAGCCAAAATACATCATCACAACCAACCACTATGACCCATGCAATGAACTATAACCTACTAGGCTATTCGTTCATGTAACTCCCAACTCCTGCCTCTGTGACCTACGAAAGACATTTCAGCTCCCCGCTACTGCTTATATGACCGACCACGACTTATGTGGCCCTTATCTCACACAACCCCAAATATTAGGTCTTTAAGACCTATTGATATTATCACAACTCGCCATTTGACCAACTACAATATATGTGGCTCACAGTTCCCGTAACTTCCTACTATGTATTCTGTGACAAACTGACTCTTCCGAGACAACTATCTGTAACCCTTATAGTCAACTACTATCATAACTTTCAACTATGACCAATATGACAAGCTGGTGTCACGACCAATGTCTACAATATTCACGATGAACTGTTGTCTCCATTATAATCGACTATAACCCTTGCAATCTAAAATACTGAGAGCTACATTCATTATAGCCAGAGAATGACTATTATCAATGAAACATTGTTGTATGTTTATAGTAATCATCTTTGTGAACCCATATTTCATAATTTGAGAGAAAAAAAAACATGTGTACTCATCATTCATAGTAAATTATTTCAACTGGGCAAGACCCGTTGTTTTCCCCTTTTCAGGGGTTTTTCAAATTCAATGTTAAGACGCTGAGACTTGCCGCCACCATGCATTACTCTCTCTTATTTTCTCTTTAAGATTTATGGTCCCTAGTCCTTACCAGATTGTATGCACTCAAAAAAAAAAAAAAAGAAACCTCATGCCTAAATATATTCAACAACAAAGATCAAACAAGCATATAATTTTGTTGTATGTATATAACCATTAAAAAAAAAATACAACTTTAAGAAGTAAGAATATTTAGGGGCATTCATACACATTTCATACAATTCTTATGTACTTAACTAACACCAAAATTTTGTTTCAACATATATAGCACTCAAATTTTTAATATCATATGGAAAAATACTATTATTATTATTATTAAATTTTTAATAGTATAATATACATTCCCATGTATAAATTTATAACAGGTTATAAATATAAATATCAGCTTTTATGAGTTAGTTGTATAAATACATAAGAAATTGCGTGGCATGTGTATAAATTTCTCAAAAATTTAAATCCAGTCGCGGCTCGGGTTTCGATAGCTTTTTGGTAGTCGTCATCCTTAAGATTGCGCGGGACGCCCCGTTCACTTCCCTGACGGCCTCCTCGCGGACGGCGATGGTGGTGGGGGAAGAGAAAGCGGTACGCTCACAGCTCACTGGTGAAATTGTCTAGCTTCTAAATCAATTAATTACATAAAAAAATGTCGGAGTTCGTCTCAAGTTTGTGGGTTTGTCACTCCTCTTAGTTAATATGGATATGCTTTTCGATCGAAGAAGCCACTGCGAAAGCATTTCCAGTACGTTTCTTGTTATGGTTAGGGCAGATGCATTAGTTTTCTATTTTATTCTATTTTTTTGGCTTTGAACTGGGAACATGATGATTTGATTATATAAAACTTATGAAACTCGCGAAAATGTTTTTTTCTCAGAAGATGTCTACAAAAAGATGGATAGTAACTTACACGAAGCATATGAAACAGAAAAGAAAGATTTATCAAGATGGGGCACTGGAGCTTTGTAGTTCAGGTTGCAAGGTATGAAGTTTGATTCCTGTAATTGATATCGAAACTGAATTATCTTTCGTAATATTAATGCTATATTATATGGTTGCTAGTTTCTCTTCGTCTAACTTCGGCCTTTAAGTGACTGTAACAGGTTCTATATTTTGCTCGTAAGTACTGTTGGTTGCACATTTACCAGATCAATGCTTTTTCGTAGTTTCTAGTTTTTTCAGGACTACTGCATTACAAAGTTAAGCTGTCTAGTATATCCTAATACTTGTGGAGTTACTCACAAGAAATTGTCCCTAGACTCATGCCTTAAACTCCATCTGCTGGGTTCGCAGCTTCCTTCCTCTCTGCTACCATCTCACAGGTCCCCGAGGTTTATGCTGCCATGTCACCAATCCATGAGAGTTACGCAGCTGCACGAGGAAACCTTGTGGGTTTCCACTTGTTGTAATTATTCTGTAGTAAATTCTAGGACTGTCTAAAATTATGTATATATGTTGGAATAAAACTTATTCCCTAATTTTTGTTGTGGTATTAAAGCTTCAGGAATTTTTTTCCCAAGTTTATTCTCTTTCCTTTCTTCCTATTTTTGGAAACAAACTTTTTTTTATTCTTGTGAGCACGTTGCTGGCACAATTTACCTCCAATAGAAGCAGCAATAATGCTCAAATTTCTTGTCTCAGATTCCCTTGGGATCAAGGGATGCATTCCAAATCTAAAGGGTCAGTTATAAAACATCAATTCAACATACTGGTTAAATGAAAAGAATTATCTGAAGTGGTTGCAATTGATTTTGTGCTCTCAAAGGGAAGACGAAGATTTTGCTATATATTTGGCATTGAATCTGAGCAAGGGTTTCCCATGCTTAATTTTTTTTGATGAACGTGATTCTACGGAGTTGTTATGGAACTAGATGGTTTTGGAAATAAGTGATAAATGCGTGTTGATTTGTTCAACAAAGAAAATATGGGATACCCTGAATCAAATGATTCTAAAGGTTGTAATGCTATAGAAATATTTGAAATTAAGATAAAGTCATCCACAAAGCAAGGAGGATAATCTATCATATAATACTCCATGTAGTTGCAAATTTGTGAAAAGAGATTTGTCACTTTCAATTCATTCAAATGAAATGCATCAAAGATGTTGCTTTTCTTAAAAGCTTTATTGAAAATGATCAATTATATGATTTTTTTTGCTTAATTAAATATTGAGTTAGATGTTGTAAGGGTATAAATTATTGGAATGAAGGACTTACCATCTATAAACAAAATCATTCCCGTAAGGTGAATTAAAGAAGGGAGACGTAAAGGGTTTGTCCTTGATGTTAAAGAACTTCAACTTCAAGCCCTCTCAATCACAAGCAACTAACTCTTGCAAAGACGGTCAATAGAGATGCTCTATGGTGCATATATTGCAATAATCATATTTATACCATTTGTGATTCCAAGGGCTATGGAAGTAAAATATCTATTAACAAAAATATATTATAAGGTTGGACAATGTAGAGAAAAAAATCTATACTAAAAGTAATCGCGAATTCAACCATAGAAAATCTTTCATGTTGAATGTGTGAGACAATTAGAGGTATATCCATATTTTTCTTTGAATCTAGGTCTATCTTCCGTGTGAACCTTGACATCTAAATGCCAATAAAAACTCGCACAATTTTTATCTACTATTATCGAACTTGTTCTTTGACAATGATATACGATTGAACATGCATTGCTTCTTTGTTGGCTTGATTAATGCCAATAAAAACTCGCACAATTTTTATCTACTATTATCGAACTTGTTCTTTGACAATGATATACGATTGAACATGCATTGCTTCTTTGTTGGCTTGATTAAAGAGCCATTAAGTTGCCAATAAAAACTCGCACAATTTTTATCTACTATTATCGAACTTGTTCTTTGACAATGATATACGATTGAACATGCATTGCTTCTTTGTTGGCTTGATTAAAGAGCCATTAAGTGATAATTAACCGGATATGAGTGAGGTGTTCCTAACATTATCAAAGAATTTGATAAAAAATGAAGCCAAATATTTACAATTATCTTTGTGAAAGTCTGGAGATTGGAAAATTTCCATATATAATTTTTTAATTTTAGGTTTTTTTTTTTACTATAATGTAGAATCTATTATAGTTTCTGTGGCAGAATCCAAAATTATTTTATCCTCTATTATTCTCAACTTCACAATTACCTTTCACTTCAAGATTTTTTGCTCATCATATTATCGGCTTGGGTAGTTTCTCAAGTTTCTTTATTCCCCTAGAATTCATATTTTTGGATTTATACAACTAATTGATAGAAGCTTGGCTTATTGAAAATCAATTGCAGTATCCAATGTTATTGCTTGGTGCATTGTTGAACTAAAATTTCAATGTTTGAGCTCCTTATGGAATTTTATTATTTGTCTTATCATGCACTTAAGTTCTTCATGATGCTTTCTACTTAAGAGGAACACATTTTCACTTCTTTTTTCTGTATCGTGTTCCCTCAGCCTCAGATTATATTGTATGATGATTGCGAGAAGATCATAGATAGAAGATTTTTAAAAAACAGTGAGATAGTTAAATCAGGTGCAACGTTGTCCTTTGAAACTCATATTGTGGACATTGGAGATCCTGATGGAAGCCAAAAGCCTCCAACAGAGTCAAATGTGAAGTTGGTCATACAATCAGAGGCACAAAAAAAGGTTAGTAGTCCCGTTTCATAAATGTGATACATATAAAGTTTATTCTATACTTTTTGATTCATTATTTCTTAATTATCCGACTTGACCCTCTATTTTCTATGGGAGTAATGCAATGCTAATTAGATTTCCTATGAACATTTCTACCGTGGCACAAAAAGGAGTGCACAATCATCCTCACATATCAATCAAATTTAGAAATAAATTCATAACACTCTCTAGCTAATCACGTTCCCCGTAATCCTTAAGAATCAAAATGAATGAAGCATCAAGGAAGAAAAAAAACTCAATGCAAAGTGGATCATTATAGAATTGTTTCTTGGTGGTCCCAAAACATGTCATAGCTAATGTGTAGTAGAATAAAGTTTTTCCCTGTCTTGTCCGAATCTTCTTTCTTTTGTCATTTGTAGTTGCATGTTCAACTTTTGAAAACCGAGATTAAGTTAAACTTACTCAATTTAAGGATTAGCATATTCCTATTTTCAATTATTAATTTGGATTATTGCAGTACCTTAACTGAACTCTAAATAAAAAGTCAAAAAATATCTGCACAAAGAAGAGTAATTGCCACTAGAAGTAGTCCAAGGGGGTGCAAATAATATCGTGTTTAGCAATGTGGGCAACGGTCTTTCAATCTTGTCAAAATATGCAAGTTAATTTTTACTTCTTAAGTGTTTTTCAGGACGCATCAATATTTTTATAAGTTTATTTCCCATACATCTCGATGAATTGATTATGCCCATTTGTTTTAATAAAACTATTTTGTTGAATTATTTTCTAGCTTCCTTTTATACAGTGTTTTTTTTTGATAGAATAGCAATCTCATCGGAAATGAATAATGATAGACTTTAGGAGAAATATGATTATTAATACAAAATTGGTCAAAGAAATAAAGATAGAATTTGAAGGATTTTTAAGGCTTGAATAATTTGGCTCGTCATTTGAAAAGATCTTATGGTTTATATAGGCTTCATAAAGATTTCTAGATACAATGCAATTCTTATTGAAAAGGTATGGCTCGATAATCAAATGGTCATATTTTAAAATTTGGATTGACTTTTGATATATTCATGATTCTCTATAGACATCATACCTATATCATCTACTTTTAATGCATGCATAAATGCAGCTAGATGCTCAAAATTCTAACTCTTTGAATTCTAGGCTACTCTGAGAATTCTCAAATTATTATTAAGTTAAATTTAATTTCTAATAATTCATCTTAAATTAAAAAAAAATCTTTTACTTTATGTAATGGATTTGCCTTCAATGATCTTGTGAAGATATCTGTAATTTTATGGCCTATTTTTCCACGTTTTAAAAACCAGACTGAACCGACCGGTGGTCTGGTTTTGGTTGGGTTGAAAACTGGCTCTGCATCGAATCGGAAATAACCGGCTTGAACCGACTGTCGAATCGATCAGTCGACTGGATCAGCCGTCGAACCGGTCAACATGTTAAAGTGTATTTTTTATCTTATGTCACATTTTTATTGAAAATCATGAATAATGGTTTGAATCATTTGATATCATGAAGAATGTGTCTCGCTCTAATCCTTCTTATCTTCACTTTGTTCTTTATCTTTTGTCAAATATGCATGACTATTAATTTATCATCTTTTGTTTTTTACGATTTTATATTTTCTTGGTTATGTTTCCCTCTTATTGGCCTTCCATGCTAAATTTCATCTAATTTTTATGTCATTTAAGTTATATTTAATATTTTTTTATATTTATGATGTTATCTGGTTCAACCCCCGGTACTGTTGAACCTTAAACCTTGAACCTCCTCCTCTACCAGTTCAATGTTCGGTCTGGTTTTCTGAATCTTGCTATTTTTACATAGATAAGATTCACTTTTTCTTTTACATCTTTTGAATGAAAGGGTATCAAGTGTTGATGTAATTGCTTCTTTCACGATGAATTGGATTTGGGCTAATGCAATTGCTGAGTAATCTCTCTAACTAAATTGCATGACATACATATTATGTAATCTGCTTCATTAGTAGATATGTTAATAATTAGATTGCTTCTTGGATAGTCATGTAAATGTCATGTCATACAAATAGAAAATAAATTATTTTATGTTTTTTTTATATTCATTATCTCCTCCCCAATCAACGACCGGGGAAAAAATATAAAATTAAAATTACTTGAAAGATGTATGTCTATTGGGCATACTATCTCAGATAAATGAAGCGAAGCTCAATTTATCGACTAATGAATCCAACTTCACAAAGATTATCCCATCATATGTACGAGAAACTTCTAATTAAGTTCTTATGGAAAGTAGGACCACCACTTCACCTGCATCGCATTTTGATAGCTTTAGTTCACAATCAATGAATCACAATCTTCCATTTGATTTTTCAAAGAATTTTATGACGCGGGATGCTAAAAGGCACTCTTATAACGGGGCGCTAAATGCCAGCTGACCAAGTTCCTCGCCGGTCTAGGGTGACCGGTCCATAGCACGATCACAAAGGATCATGGCAGAAGGATTGTGAGTTCCGTGGAGAAAAAAGAGATCTGAGGTGAAAAGAGAGATGCAACACATGTATCTATCAACTCATTATAGACATGATATGTTATTGAGACTTCATTAGTTGCAGCAAAAAAATTTCTCAGTATATGAGTACGCAACAATGTTCGACCAACTTATGTTGAAATGTGGGCTGGTGGAGCACGAGGAGAAAATCATAACTCGATATTCTAGGGGATTGAGATCATCCATTGGCAATGTGATTCAACCCTTTTGGACATTATAGGATGTTCAAACCCTAGTTTCAAAGGTGGAGAGACAAAATCGTCGCGTGACTACCACATCTTAAAGGCAGAGTCAAACCTCAGGATCAAGCAGCAAGAATACACCCACGAAACATTCAAGCTGACCTCTCTGAGGGGAAACTAGTTGAGCGTGGAAAACAGGTGGAGCCAACTAGCATTCTCAATTCGTTCTAGCCAAGACTTGTTTCAAGTGCCGCAAATTTGAGCATATTGAATCACATTGCCCAAGCAGGAGAATGATCTCTTTCACTGATTAGGGAACAGTTGAAGAAATTATCAATGATATAGGAGAGAATGAAGACTTCAGTGAGGAGTTTCAACTTCCAGCTGTTGAGGAAGAGACAATAGTGATCAAGCTAAGTCTATAAGAGAGATTCCTGATGTATTAGCTTTGTTTGTTCTAGAAGATAGTGAGTTCTACGAGCCGATACCTGAAAAGGGAAAACTTATGTTGAAGGGATTGCCAGACATAATGTCCAACAACATGCCATTGATTTCATTCCAAAAGTTAGTTCATTTAGATAATTTTGTTTTTCAGATACACTCAATCGAGTACGAGTTAGAGAAACAAATTACATATTTAATGGCTCGAGATTTAATTTGTGAAAGTTTACATCTATATGCAGCTCCAGCTTAGGTTGTGCTAAAAAAGTATGAATACTTATTTTAGATGTGTTTTTGAATGACAACACTTGCAGGATTGACTTATCGAGAAGTTACAACAAATCCACCACCTTCAATATGCCCGACCTGATGCCATACTATAAGACGACAAAAACTTTAACAAATGTGGTCAAAACTCCCCCAACCCCTATAGATTGACATGGGAGCGGAAGGGATCACACGATCTCATGTCTGCGTAGATTAGGCACCTGATTCTTGTGATCGGAGCATAATCGAACAGGACACCTTTGCTTTTATTTTCTTTCCAATTTTTAACACATTTCCTCTTATAATTTCTTCCTTTCTAGTTCTTTCCTTTATATGTGTTGTATTAGTTTTTGAAGTTTTTAGTTCTTATGATCGGAGCATAAGCGAACAGGACACCTTTGCTTTTATTTTCTTTCCAATTTTTAACACATTTCCTCTTATAATTTCTTCCTTTCTAGTTCTTTCCTTTATATGTGTTGTATTAGGTTTTGAAGTTTTTAGTTTTTGGTCTTGTATTTATTCTGGACAGTTGCTGTTGTCTCTTTTTTTCTCGTCTGGGGCTGTATCTAAGGGTTGAGGGGTGCTTTAGCTGTATCTCGTTCCCGAGATGGTGATTATCCTTCCTCCTACCCTTCCTCATCCTTTCCACATCGCTCCCCGTCACCATCCAATGCTATTGCTGCTGCTTGCATTCCCCACCTTCCAATCACCTGTCCTCACTCCGCCTCATGCAGTGCACCATATTTCCCATCATTGCCGCCATCATTCCCTTTCTTCGCCGCCGCCAAGAACAACCTTTATATGTTGTTTTCCTCATTGTCCAACCATCTTTCTTGTTGCCATTGCCCAGGTTAGCCACTACACTTGTTGTTCGTGCTACTTCACACCTTCTTCTCGAGGTTACCAACACCCTATTTGCTGCTGCCACACCTTCCAACCCATCAACTGTCCTTTCCTACCTCTCTGGAGGCCCAAACCCTCACCGATCACCACCGCCACCCGTAGATCCACCCTAGTTTGAGTTTGTGTTATCATTTTTTACAATTTCAGATTTCTCGCTGTTTCTTTATAATTTCTTATTTGAATTCAACAATAATATTGTTTTCCCATTGTTGTTTGCTAAACTTTGGTATTAGAAATTTTACTCCACCCTGGACATTCCTTGGCCACAGTTACAACCTTTTTTGCTTTCACATCTTTTTTTGGGAATCTTTTTTCCACTCCAAGGAAACCTTGGTCTGAAGAATTTTCTCCAAACGCACTTGCATCTTTGTTAGCCATTTTTCATAGGCTTGCAATGATCCATAAGCTCATCAACTGTCATGGTCTCTGTGCCCTTTGGCTTTTAATTAATCACCTCATTATAATTAAAATTTGCATCCATTGAGCATAATTATGTTTTTAATGCTCAGATGTCTTCTCGTGTATCTATATTATGCCTTAATTGATTGATGATTGTTAGGACCCTTGTAAAATTGTCCAACCTATTTTCAATTTTATTCATATGTTGGGCTTCAAACCTACCTTAAAGAGTTTGGAGGCAAACTCTCCTAACCTTTTTGGTTCCTTTGTAGGGATTTGGGAGAATCTTCCATGCTTGCATGGAAGTGGTAGCTGCACAACCTTTTTGATTGATGATTTTCATCGATTGATTATAGATAAGTTATAAGATATTTCTGTCTTTCTTTAGGGTCTCTTGGAAATCATATCTTTGTTGAGTAGTGAGGACGGTTCCTCGTGGCACCATATAGCTTTCATCACTAATTTTCCTAATTTGACAAGCAAAGTAAATCATGTTTTTTAAAAACTGTTGTTAGCAATTACTTTGGATTGATATCATTTTGACTGAAATTAAGAAAAATGGAAAGGCTAAAACGCAAAATTGGACTAGGAATTAGAGAAGTAAAATTTAGAGAAATTTTTGGGCATACATAACTGTATTTTTTATTAAAAAATAATCCCATGTGTTTCTGTAGGCTCTGTTGAGATTTCTATATACTATTCAACTCTAATTTAGACTACCTATATGCGTTATTTACCTTTAATATCAATAAAATATGTAATTTGGTGCTTAGGATTCCAACTTTTAGAATTCTCACAGCCCTTGGAGAATTCTTAAATTATAAGTAGTTTTTATTTAATTTCCAATAAATAATAAGTATTTTGTTTTATCATGTGGCATATTGGCTAACAACGATACCTTCTTAATGTTTCGTACTTTGGGATGTATCATGATCCTTATTTTCCGGCATTATATTTTATAAAATATCTCCTAGTTTCCAGCATTATTTCGCCTTGCAATTTGTACTTGTTTAGCTTATGAATAAAAATTATTAGAATAAACATGTAACATAATAGAAGAGCGACAATAGTATCTTCTTAATGATTCTTATGTTATTTTACAAACTTTTCCAAATTTTCAAAATCGTAGATCTTCTTGAGTTTCTTGGCATTTTTCTTCAACACCTTCAAATGGTTAGCTCGACAAGGTCACCATTGGGAGATCATGTAGGACAGTTCTTGTAGATTATCTGAAGTTATACTTAGTATCAATCCCACCATTCACTAACAGGCGTGTGCTTCAATAAATGCATACAAATTCATAGGTCTGTTATGAAACACCTCCCATATCTGGAAACTGTGCAACATGAGGATAACTTGGGAACATGAAAAGGTTAATGTTTTTGTGGCATTGCTTCTCTATACTATTTGACTTTTATGGTTAGTTATTCTTTAGTTTCATATGATTTGAATTCACTTCTCACTCTATCTCAACTATGGTGAACATACACTTACAGTTTTATGATTTTCACTATATATCTAATTAGAGCTCTTTTATTTTGATTAATTTGATTCAAAGTTTTAATCAAAATAAGTGTGTTTCAATCAGCTATATGGGTCAGTTTTGAAATCTTTATCTTTTATTATAGTTCAATGTCAGCCACTTTATTTATTATTTTATCAAGTATAAAAGCTACACTTCTAATAGATTGCTTCCACTTCAAACACTTCACCATTTTAAACCATTCTTTTGATTTAGCTATGTGTAGAATGGAACGCCTTATACACAATGCATGTGACTCAAAAAGCAAAGAAATTTCATGATGGTATCTTGCGAGCGCTCATTTGCGGCCCCCATTTGAACCTGGTTTGTTTATTTTTTTCTTTCTAATTTTTAAATTTTTTATTTCTTAAGCATAAGCAATTTCTTCCATTTTTCTTCCTTCATGTAATCAATGGCTGTTTATGGCTTTAAAATCATGTCCAGTATCATGATATTTATTACCACTTTGTGTAAGAAAGCGGAATGTCAAGACTAAACCTTGGCAGTGCTATAGCTTTATTCGAGTGGCTAGTGGTACCTTTTCTTTTTTTCTGTTGATGTCTGCTTGAAAAACTAAATTCTAGCAGTCTATTACTTTTCATCCTTGATGCAATGATTTTAGTGTGGCCTGATATTCATTGTCGAACAATTTGTTTTTTAAGGCCATGGTTAAGAGCTCATTCTTTAATTTAGGAGAACCAGCCTTCATTATTTGTTTACGTTACCATGTCAGCGCTTGTCACTAATTTGGATCTTTCATTTCCTTGGATTTATGTTGGATTTGATAGGTGAGGGAATTGTTGATCTGGAAGGGTCTCCAGCACAATTCAGGAGATTTTCAAGTCCTTCACTCAGAGATGAACAAGTCAGCTTATGAAGCTATGACTGACCTACACTTTTTCACTTGAGCATACATTTTGATGTTAAAGAACATATTAAGATGGGAGAAGTCAATCTAAACAATTCCTAGGCTTAGGCCCATCAGATATGGCTCTATGGCTAAATTAGTATTTGAGTCTTTGGCTTATATCTTAATGTTATTTATATATTCTTAAAAATTTCAGGTTAGTATCTAAAATTTAGGCTCTAGTTCTTTATGTAATTTGTTTTTTTTTTAATGTGGAACTAGTTCTCTTGAAGGGTGTGCAATTTGCATTAAAAAAAAACAAAATATACAAATGAGTTATACAAGCTACACAAAAGGTGCAGTGCGGTGGGCATCAGCCTCCGCCACACTCAACAAATTGCGGTTACAACTGTGATTGTCCCATAGAAAAGACCTATACAAAGCTCGCTGTGCTAAAAAATAGGCCGCTTTGTTATAATTTCTATGAGCAAAAAGAAAAAGGACTTGCTCGAAATTTTTAAGAAAAGCACAATTGTGACCAATGCTACTCTGATGTTGCCATACCTTGGCCTTCAAAGTATTCTGGAAGTGTTTGATAACTGTTTCGTTATCTCCCTCAATGATCATGCCCTTTGTTTCATACATCCAAGGCTCTAAAACGTTGCCAAGAGCCATCGTCTTTTCATATTCAACACTCTTCGGAATTAATAGCTTGAATTTAGGGAAAAGTGCTATTTTTATTTTTCTTATTCATTCTAGATATGTATTTAATATAAATTTAGGGTCTGTTTGGGGCAGCTGCAGCTTATTCAGCTTCTGCTGATAAGCAGTTTATCCTGATAATCTGCTGATGAGCAGCTGATCCGGATAAGCTGTCTAACTGTTTGGTTGGCGCTTATGGAAAACAGCTGATTGTGAAAAATTGACCATTCTGCCCCTGTTCTGAGTAAACAGTTTAGCTGTTTGGTTAGTGCGTTTTGTAAACAGTTTATTTGGAATTTTTTTTATTAAATGAATAATCTGTGCAGCAGAATCTGTTCTTTTCTCAACAAAATTAAAGATCACTGTTCAGACAAGAAAATACCAAAAAGTTGATTTATATTCATATAACTAAAACATATCCGATCACATCAAACAAATATGTTACACATACAAAAGTCAAACGCACCCGCACATACTACTACAAAGTATAATAAGAGCCCATAAAAAAAGAAAAAATAACATGTTAAAATGATAAGTAGAAATATGATAATGTTAACTTTATAATGTAACAGCATATCACAGCCCATGCCACCTGCATCTAACACTCCAGAACCCTGAGCAAACCTGTCCGACTGCGATATTGTAGAAACAGAAGAACTCGAACCACATGTGGCGTTCTCCCGTTGTGGTACTATTGAACTCCTAGCAGTTGTGTCCAATTGGGAGCACGTAGAAATAGTTCCACTGTCGGCCCACCTGAAGAATTTGCAGTCGTCCGGTCCTTGTCCCCACCACGGGCACCTGTAGAATTGTCGTCCGTAACTATGTGTCTGTCGTGATGTGAAAAGCAATGACGGTAGCCCACATCGACACATCATTTGCCCTGACTTCCCTGAATATCTCGAGCTCATTGTCCTGCAATTATTATAAAAAGCGTTAATCAGTCAAAAACTAGAGGGAATAAAAAAAAAAACTCAACATATCAAATTGTGGAAGCAATTGTTGCAACGGAGTTCTTTGGCCACCTGCATCTAACACCACTCTTATTAACTTCATGAAAGTAACAGAATATCACTTTAAGTTCATATAACAAATTTCATAAAAATATTAATATTGCATTGGAGCATCGAAACATTAATATACAGACAACGGAAAGCCAACAACTTTTATAAAATACCACAAAGAATAAATAAAATTAACCCTAACTGTTTCTCTAGATGACACAAGGATTACAAAGGATGATGAAGAAGAAATCTATAACTTACAAAGAAAGCTAAAAAGGGATTTTGAATTAAAAGACCTATGTGCCCTGAAAGTTATTTCCTTGGAATGGAGATTGCATGGAGTATGCAACTAGCACATGACAATTCCAACAGGCAAGAAGCAATCAAACCGACAAAAGATTCCCATCCTAACAGCCAAAATAAGAAAAATAGAACGATAAGACCGACAAAAGATACCCATCCTAACAACCAAAATAAGAATTGAAACAGCATATCTCTATAATTATTGGAGAAGAACGAAGCAATATGTAATCACTAGATCTGACATTGAAGCAAAATATTAGGCAATATCTTGAGGGATCTATTTGCTTTTATGGATCAAAATTTTGATATTGCTCATTTACCGCAGATGGTTAAAACGGATAGTGATTACATTGAAATCACTAGATCTGACATTGAAGCAAAATCATTAAAAGGTAGATTCGACATTTAAAAATTTCTAATAGTGCTATTTCAGATGTGAGATTAAAGATTTGAGTGCTGTGTATGTAAATATGAAAGTTTAGGTGTGGATATAAACACATCAGAATTGTATGCGATGTATGTAAATGCCCCAAATTAGAAAAGAATCACAGAAGGGTTTATTGAAGCAGATGGGGCCATATGTTATTTATGTAAATTACATTAATATAGGGTGATTACATAGCAATCTCACTTTTCCTCAACCCAGTAGATAGCAGCCCTAAAGAACATCAAAAAGGTAGAAAATAAATGACATCGAATTTGTTTCATAAATAAGTCCCATATTTTTTACTCTTGACATACACAACACTTTGCTTAAGCCTTCATTTGCAGTCAAACAGAAAAGTTAGAAAATAAATGGCATCAATTTAGTTCAATCATGCTGAGTCTACTTTAATATTCATTAGACAACACCTCATCTTTTTACAGGCTTTGCTTAAGCAAGCCTTCATTTGCAGTCAAACAGATGCTGAGTCCCAAGGTTGCTGAAATTCCTTATATTCAACTGCATATTTAGATGCTAGATATGGGCTGCCGAAATTTATAAACTTATGGGTGAAATTTATACATATTCCCGACACCTAAACTTCATTCTTTGGGTGAAATTCCTTATTTGGGTGAAATTCCTTCTACTGCATAAGACTTCATATTTAGATGCTAGATATGTAAATACATATGAAATTTACAAACAGCTACCAACCACCGTGCCTTTATAAAAGGTGAAATTCCTTCTAGGCATGGTCTGCCGAAACTCCTTCAACACCACTGCATTAGAAGAGTAAAAATCTACAAGCACCAATATCAAACAAAAAATCTACAGAGCACCAAGTTCAGGCCACATTCATCATTTAGAACATCAATTATTGTGTGTTTACTTATCTAACACCAAATCTTTAAGTAATGAAGCTTCAACAATATTGCATATCTAACGGAGTTCAGGCCACTGCATATAGAGCACGGAGCATGTACTGCATTGTTCATGTATTACAGCTTCAACAATATTGCATAGACCTTATTGCAATATTTTTCAATGAAACAAAATAGATTACAGCTTCACAGCCATAAAAATGAAACTAAAAATAGATTACAACTTCAACATTAGTTTGATTTCAAAAGAACCAAAATTGAAACCATCCAAAATTTCGACCAACATTGAATCCAACATATCGTAATTTCGACCCCAATGGGTCATACCATAGTAGTGGTTGCCATCCAAGCTACATACATAGCAAGGGGTCATCCAAGCTACATACAGATTGCTTACAAATTTTAACTTCCATAACCATACCATAGTGCGGGACATTTTGTAGTGCATGATACTTGAACAAAGAATAAATCAACATTAGATGCTTTCATAACCATACCATAGTTTTAAAGCATAAATATGTTCCCATGTATAATAGAACCAAGAAACCATCCAAAATTTCGGCCAACATTGAATCCAACATACCCTAATTTCGACCCCAATGGGTCATACCATAGTAGCGGTTGCCATCCAAGCTACATACATAGCATGGGGCCATCCAAGCTACATATAGATTGCTTACAAATTTTAGATGCTTCCATAACCATACCATAGTGTCGTGACATTTTGTAGTGCATGATACTAGAACCAAGAATAAATCAGCATTAGATGCTTCCATAACCATACCATAGTTTTAAAGCATAAATATGTTCCCATGTATAATAGAACCAAGAAACAAAACCACATAAATTCAACCATAAAAGAGAAGACCTCTTATTATTCTCTTACAAGGGACATAAGTACAGGTGATGAAAGTAAAAAGTGGTGAAAAGTGTGTGTAGAGTTACACATTTATTAATCATTGAGTTGTTTATGTGCGTAGCCAACAGTACATTAGGAAATGAACCAGAGCAGAGAAGTAAATTTTTTTAAGCTGATATATTATGCCATAAAACATGTTCAAGCTCACTGTAATAAGCTAAATATGTCCATAAATTCAACCATAAAACATGTTCAAGCTCAGATTCATCTTTGTTAAAACCACCTTTGCATAAATCAAAGCTCA